GGGCCTTTGGGGGGGGGGGGTGATTAGGTCACAAGGGTGGAACCCTCATGAATGGAATTAGTGATTTATAAAAAGGGACCCCATAGAGCTCCGTAGCCCCTTCCACCATGTGAGTACATAGTAAGGAGTCAGCAGTCTGCTGCCAGGAAGAAGGCCTTGACCAGAACCTGACTATTGCCATCACCCTGATCTTGGACTTCAGCCTCCAGAACTGTGAGAAATAAGTTTCTGTTGTTTATAAGCTACCCTACCCAGTCTGTCATATTTTGTTACAGCAGCCCTTCCAGACTAAGACCTGTATGCCCAGTTTCTCTAATACTTTTATTTCTTATCTCTTTGATCGTAGCCATTCTAACAGGTATGAGGTGATCTCTCGCTGTGGTTTTGATTTGCATTTCCCTGATGATTAGTGATGTTGAGCACCTTTGCATGTACCTGCTGGCCATCTTATGTCTTCTTTGGAAAAATGTCTATTTGGATCCTCTGCCCATTTTTAAAATCAGATTGTTTGTTTTTTTGTGTTGAGGTGTAGGAGTTCTTTATATCTGTATATTAACCCCTTTTCAAACACCCCTGTATGGTTTACAAATATTTTTTCCCATTCAGTAGGTTGCCTTTTCATTTTGTTGATTGTTTTCCTTGCTGTGCAGAAGTTTTTTAGTTTGGTGTAGCCCCGCTTGTTTATTTTTGCTTTTGTTGTCTTTGCTTTTGTTGTCAAATCCAAAAAATCATCGCCAAGACCAATGTCACAGTGCTTGCCACCTGTTTTCTTCTAGGACTTTTATGTCTTACGTTCAAATCTTTGACCCATTTTAAGTTAATTTTTGTGTCGGTCCAGTTTTATTCTTTTGTGTGTGGCTGTCCGGTTTTCCCGACACCATTTACTAAAGAAACTGTCCTTTCCTCATTGTATATTCTTGCTGCTTTGTAGTAAATGACCATATAGGCCTGGGTTTATTTCCAGGCTCTCTGTTCTCTTCCATTGATTAGACTATGATTTTTTGGTTACATAAATTAACCCATTTGTTATAGTCTAGCAGTGTTTCAAATTGTGGAGCTTTTAGTTCCTTCAGCCTTCTGATGGCAGACTTTACTGTGATGGCAGAAGTGATGTCGTAGGTCCAGGCAACCAACTACTGTTTTTGTACAGGACACAGTGCCTGATCCCCACAGCTCATCTCTCCATCTTGGTTTTGCCACAGAAGGAGCAAGTGTACTGGCATGCTGGCTGAATTCAATTTTCTCCACCCTTTTCCTGAAGAAGCCCTAGTGGGTTGCAGATTTACCAGTGATTCTGGCCTTGGTGTGTTCAGCCGCGGTGCCACAAGTAGGTCCTAGTCTATGATTTGTGTTGAAAGGAGCCTACGTCTCGTCTATCATTGTACTCTCTGTCTCTAACCCAGTGCTTAGCCACCTAATATGGGCTCCACTAAATGCTACTTGGCTAAATAAGTATCATTTGAAGTGATGTTTCTGTATTTTTGCATATACTTTCAAAGTGTCTTCTGAGAAGATTCATCGTAGTGTTTTGAAAGAAGAGCAGTATGAGTGGCACAGCAGATGGGCTCTAAGTTCACCAGTGAGGTTGGCTGCCAGCAGAGTCATCTTTTGAAGACTCTTCTTCATCCCGAGTTGACACGGGATTGTTATATTGGCTAAAGAGAGTCTTTTTAAAGGGTGGAAGTACTCAGGACACATACCATTTGAAATAATGTTGAAGGATATAGAGCGGGAATGCACACGGGCATTGGTGTTGACCCAGACATTATCCATTTAGCTTTTCCTTTCATATCACTTCAAGTCTGGTCTGAAACAGGATCTGCCTCTACTGTGGCAGGAACCCGGAGACACAGCACAAGTTTCAAAACCCGGGGGTGGGGCAAAAAGGTTCACTTGTTCCTAGAATTACAAGGAGCCCAGTGAGGCTGGAATGCAGCACATGAGGGGAGGGTGGTGTGAGAGGAGGTCACAGAAAGGTAAGGTAGGCAGGAGCCATGTCATGGGGAGGGGTTTCAGACTGAATTATGAGTGCAGTGGCAAATTTTGAAGCACAGGAGTGCTATACTCTGATTGGTGTTTACTTAAACATAAACCTGGGGAGAATTAATTATGGGGGAAGCAGAAGCAGAAAGATCAGTGAAGCTACATAGACTGTCCAAATGACCCTGACGGGTGCCAGAGGCCGGGGTTGTGGAGAAAAGTGTGCAGATTTGAGATATATTTTGGAATCTCCTGATAATTGATTGGCTGGCAGAGTGAGGAAACAAAGATGACTCCTCTTTTTCTGCCTTTGGGAAGTGGGTGTGTGAGTGAGGGTGCCATTTAGTGAGAAGCAGAAGACCGGGGAGAGAACAGGTTTGGGTGACCTATTATGAGTTGCACTTTATATATAAAGTATCTATTTGAGGTGCCTATGA